TGAAACTAAGCGAAGCCCACGGTCTCGTAGTTGAGCACTTTCGAATGGGTTGTGCTGCATAAATGGGCACTTGTACTAAATAGGAATCCACAGAAGTACACGCTAAACTACAATGGATAAGGCAGTCATGACCCACTTCCTTCGGAAGAACAATTTCATGGACTAGAATTCCCTATATAATTTTCTTTATTTTCACTTCTTCGTACCCGAAATTGCACAGATTTTTATGCAAATGTAATTAACGTATTTTCGTCTACATCCCAATAAGGGCATAATTATACAAAAATTAAGAATATGCCGACTATGTGCAGAAAATATATCGAAGTGAATCACGTGATTTGAGCGACATCTGGTCGTTGAAATTGCAGTTCAGTCCGTTCTGTAATTTCCGGGACGGGCCGTCTCGGAAATCACGTGACTTTGACATGAGCGTCTTGCCCTATGAACGTAGGTTCCTACCTGAAAGGTCCTACGTAGAACCTCCTCTTGTTAAAAGCGTAGTTGAGTGGCAGACGGTCAGGTTGAGCAGCAAGAGCCCTTGGCTGGGTGAAACCCACGGCCAGTTCACTTCCGAAGGAAGGTCTAAAGACTAGTTCTGGTCGTTGGATTTTTTACAGTTCAGTCCATTGTTTTGTCAGAATAAATAGAGTCCCGAGAAGAAAAAAGAGTACATATTGTAATGAATGATAGCAACTGCGACCTTATACGATCCGATAGCTAGACACGTGAAAATACGTAATGAAATTGGCACATGACACCTTGTCAGAGTATCACATGACAGTAAAACCACATCATTTGCTAGCATAACTCTTATGGTTTGTTGCTTGTGAAAGGACTTACGTAACAAAGACAAACAATAACAAAACTTAAAGTGAAGAAGGGTCCCGTAACTTCACTGCACACATTTTGTATACTATTGAGTCTTATTCTAGGAATTATTATTGCGACTGATCACGGTAAGTAATCTTATTGCTCATTGTGAAGTAAACAACACGGTTAGCATATTTTTGTTCTTCGGGCTAGTGTAAAACCTAAATTCCAAGTTTCTTGCTCCCAAATACTGTTTATCAGTAAAATATCGTATCATCTATCGGATAACAAAACCATGAAATATGTTTAGGAAGTAATTCGTATTGTTTGTAATGAGCTAGCATACGAATCTCAGTTGACAATACCTTTTTGTGATTACCATATACGGTGGTGAGCATAATTTTTTCTTCGGGTTCTACTGGAAAAAGAAAGAGGGCTTTAGCCTGACCGTCTGTCGCTCAACCAGTGGACTTCGTCCAGTTCCACTAAAACCACCCAAAGGGTGCGCTGTTAACAGAGGAGGTTCTACGTAGGACATTTTAGGTAGGAACCTAGGTTCACTTCCTTCGGAAGGTCTAAAGACTAGTCCCGAAGGGGGAATAATTTTGCCCTTCGAGCAGTGGGCTTCGCCCAGCCAAGGGCTCTCCGACTAATCACCACCGTAATATGAGTTTAAACCACGTTCGTTATCATTTGTTATCGATAACATTGATTTTCCCTTCATGATATTCGCTGTACGTTTTTAGCACCCCCACATTAGGAACACACTACGAAGCAATTTTGGTATTTAGTGGAACGTGTTAAGCTTCTTTGACTTCGTTCAGGGGCGAAATGCGCCCAGAAAATTATACTAGTACCTCAGATATTTTCTGCAGACACGATTTAATGTATTCCATAAACGTATATGTGTCTTGTACAATGAAACATCATTCCATGGGATCTTCAAAGAAGTGAAGGGTGGTCTTCGACTGAATAGTCCTTCAGTAAAAAGTAGAGAATTCTCTAGTATACAACTTATCTACGATCATCTGCGTAATAAACCTTTACGATAGAAGTGTTGAAAACAGAGTAAAGACGTGGTTAAATGGTAAGAGCACTAATTTCAATCAAAGACCATCATGAGTGATGTCTATATGATCGCAGTTCTGAGCTCTGTTCACGAGCAATGTTTATGAAATTTGAATTAATGATAGTGCTATTACTGAATCAACATCCACAAATCAATGATCATAAATTTAGCTTGTCGGTTCTCTGAACATGTCGGAAAGGATCTTTCAGACTTTGTTATCAGCATCGATAACACAAATCATGTTGAAACTCTTAGAGAAATGATCTTCAATGAGGGGGGGAGTAAAAACAGATTTTATGACTTGGATTCTAGCGACTTAATACTCCTAAAAGTGCACAATTGTAATGTACATAGTGAAGTGATTTCAAAGATCATATTACAAACGCAGGAAATAGGTTGCACCTGCGTTGAACAACTAGATACAACACATTTACTTAGTAATTACTGGAATGAACAACCGTCTGAAAAAAAACCGCATGTTGTAGTTGAGGTACCATTTTTTGCACTAAAACAAAAAAACTTGGAAATGTTCATACCGAATGCCAACAAAACATTAACTTCGTATATTTTAGAGTACGATATAAAAAATAAGACCTGAACCAAGACTTCGGTCTGCGATAATCGTAATATCATAGCGATGGGCTTGGCCAGTTGAATTAATTTAGTGCCCAGTAATATAAAAAGTATTGCAGTGGTACATTGTGTTGGCATAATACTATATTTTTTAACACTGTAAGTAAATGCGGAGTATACAAGAGAATCTCCACTTCCTTCAGAAGGAAAATGACATGGGCCGATTTCATGCGGAACAAAGAAAATTATGGGCATAATAGTATCACTGAAGGGTATTTTCATATTGGCATGGCTCCAGTTTGTTAATTTGAAACCATTATCTCAATTTTGCGTCTTTCTGTGGACCATTACTTATTGAGCAGAGCCCGGTATAAATTTGGCCTGCGAACGTGTGAATTTGTTGCTGATGGATAGGACCTGTTTACAGAGGCCATAGCCTGGAGCATTAAAGATGAACACGTGATAGAAATTTCGAAGACTCACTGTCCCGGAAAACCCTTTCTGAAAATGCGACCTCAAAAGCCTTCGATAGCGCTCAGCACAATGTATCTTTGAAAACGAGGTAAATGTCTCAGCTACACCAAATGAGCCGTTTCCTATAAATCAATTCCAAGATTGAGGCGCATAGAACTACGAATTCGTAAAATGATTCCAAAGAAGAGTTCCAATCTGTTCTTTTTTTTGTTTTTTAACATTGTACATGGGAGAATTCATGGTCATGCGTAAGCGAATCAGACTGAATTTCCATAAATATCCAAACCCGTTTCTCCCACTTAATACAATAAGTCCCCTTCATTTCTATATTGTCGAAATTGATTGCAGAACTTCTGTTAATTTACAATACAAACTGGTTACGTTATACTCTGTTCTATAGTATAATGTAACACGTGATAGATGATAGAATCCACACTAACCGATAGTTCATAATGGAACAGTTTTCCAGCTGCCAGGCACTTGCATTTTTTAATAAAATATCTAAGACAAAGAGACTTATCATGCATTTCTATCTCCATTAATATAGTAATACATGATCATGGACGGGTATTTCTACGTTATAACAAACAATATAGCAATTCACGAATTGTTTTTGTGGGACATGGAATGTATGCATTTCCTTTATAAATAACTAGGAGTACCCCGCAATGTGGAAAAGATGCCTATTCGAACATAATAACACTATAAGTCTCTGTAACGAATAGTCGTAATGCATTTAAGTTACTCGGTATGAACGTGTCAATGTGTCATAGTAAAGGTCACTAATGGGAGTTATCTTTGCAAACAATTTCACATTTTCCAGATGAATGCGGAAGTCATTGGATACTGATTTCCCACGTATAGCTAATGAATCACCTCTTAATAACCCTCATATAGCTAGTACGATTTTTTAGTAACGATGATTGTATTATTTTGTTTATCTCGAGGCTTTCCTTTCAGAAATATAACGATTACAATGATGTCTATGGAATTTCGGTACGAATGTTTGCATGTACAGTAGTAAGCATAATTTTTCCTTCGGGTGTCACTGGAAAAAGAAAGAGGGGCTTGGCGTAGCCTTTCGAAGAAATAGCCTGACAGTGGGCTTCGCCCAGCCAAGGGCTCTTGTCGCTCAACCTGACCGTCTTGCCGCTTAACCACGCTCTGTATTCATTTTTTACCATTCAGTATTGGGAACACATTACGAAGTAATGCCCTCCAGGCATTTCCTATTCCGTAGGAACTCTAAAGAGAAACCTTTACAGATGAAGTTCTAGGAACCTAGGTTTCTAGGGGCACATACACTTATCAATTACGTAAATGAATGATAGACAAACATATACAAAAAAGAAGAGGTAAATACACAAAAAATCGTTAAACTATCGAATATGGCTATTTTCACATTTATCATTCCAAATATTTTGATCACCACTGTATAAAGCCACGTGACACTCTAAACAATTGTTCAGAGCATCATATGACTATGTATATCATATGACTTTCTGCACGTGATGAAATATTTTCACCTACTACGGAGAAGAAAATAAGTGGACAACACATATTGTCACATGATTCAAATTAACTATTCGACAAATTACGAAGCCGCACTGCTCACGACTCATTTTCCAAGAAAAAACAAAGGAAATTTACCTAGTTCATAAAACTTATGAATCGTATGATCGTTTGTTGCAGACTGCGAGGTACATACAAGTGGATAGCAAATTTGACTGCAGATGATATCTGTTGACAGAGGACAACTGGTATAGCATATACATCAGTATTTGGCACTGTTGAACTTTGTATAAACTGTTTTTTTGTTTTACGGTGGTGATCAGTCAGGAAGCCTTGGCTGGGCGAAGTCCACTGCTCGAAGAGAAAATTATTCTCCCTTCGGCAAGTTTCAGTGAAACTAGCTCTTATACTCGTTTTTACTCTTTTTCGATAACAGTTCCTTGTCTCTTCACAATTGTGCACATTTATTGCCAGTGTACTGTAGAGTTCTATTCAGTTTACTTTCTTCTCACACTAACACTACATCTATGAAAACGATTTGAAGAAAAGTTATACTCATACAATGGATAACGAAAACGATATTTTAGGCAGAGCCTACGAAGTAGAAAAAAGATACGTGCATGTGATGGATACTGAGGATATTTTAGGCAGAGCCTACGAAGTAAAGAAAAGTAACCTATGTACTATGGAAGAAGAAAGGGATATCTATAGACATTGGATAGCACGAAACAAGACATACTGCAGTGATGAGCAGGAGATGTATATTCGTTTTGCTAAGTCAAAGAAACTGACTGTGTTTGATCATTACAAAGAACATTACATCATTTTTGACTCTTTGGATACATACTGGGAAATGCTCGATAACACACCAAAAGAATACCGATGCTTCGAAGAAGTTGTGTTTCACGATATTCCGCAATCACCTGTCATAGAGATTGGTGTATCCTCTGATGTTAGATACCCCGGCACTAAGATTGTGGAGATTCTTCGCACTACACTCGACACAATGCAAAAAATATTTCGCACGGAATACACTGATTACACTAACATTGCCCGTATCCCTTCGACGCTGGATGATTTTGTAGTTATGGACGAGATTGTACAAAGAGACGGGAAATGGCATTATTTCTTTCATATCCAAACCCCTTCGTTCTATTTTCCGAACTATTCCTATTGTGCGGAGTTCCGTGAAAGACTCTGTGCCTCACTTCCTTGCCACATTAGTTCTTTGATTGCACGTCCTACTGAATATATCTACCAGCTTGTTGGCATTTCTGGTTCATATTTACTTAGTCTCGACAACAATAAACGTATCACACCTTATAGCCAATTTCTCGACACCCGTACTTCTGTTGACAAGAACGATTTGTTCGTTTCACGTTTTTCTGTCATGCAAGACCCCACCGCATATGAACTACTTCGCCTCAAAAACACCTATCAGTCATCCTCCATACCACAGTCCCCTCCAGAAGGTATTTGCGGATATTCCGAAATAGCAAACAAGAGTGATACTGATTATTGTGGCAATACTCATTCCGTCGCTCAGCATGATGTGATCATCCCTGCCGACAAAGGGGACATACCAAGTAATCATGCACCCATTCGGGTTGTTCAGGCACCTGTGGTCAGCTTAAGACAAGAAACAGGAAAAATTGTAGAATGCAATAACTCCGTTGCATTTGCGGAGTCCACTGGAATGAACGAAAAAATACTCCATGAACACAGTTTAGGTGAAGTTCCTATAGAGTCTGATGAAAACATTACTGTGGGCAATGGCCAACAATCCATGGCAAAAACTTCTTCTTACGTGTCCATTCCTTGTCCAACCATTTTTATTACTGAATCATCGGCCAGCAAATTTCGGACCCATGCAATCGACCAAAACACTTCAGCAGTCTACACTGCAATAAATTGCATAGTTATTCTTCTCGGTATCTGTAAAAAATATGGACGACGCAGTTCGAGAGAGACTGAAACGCACCGGAATACAAATACGAGGATTAAGCACTACGTATCGCCAGGTAAAGGAAAATGTTCGTTGCCAAGTGTCTTGTTCTCCCGAAAAAATACTGCAGCAAGATGTACATGGGAATGCAGAAAAACCCTTCACAGTAGAGGTAATCAGAATAAAGAAATTACTAGATCAGTAGACAACAGGCCGAAACTAATCATGGATCTGAAGAATTGTCAATGGCCATGGGACAATCATAATAATAGCATGCTTTATTTTCGAACAACTAATTTACAAATGGTACGTTTGATAGTTGATAATCAATGGGATAATGTGTGTGGAGTCATTCCATTCCGTAATAGTCAAAATCTCGGTCACTGGGCTCACACTATATGTGATGAAGGGTGTTTCGAGAAAATATGCTATCGGAAACCAGAAAAGTAAACTATCCACTTCTCTCAGGAATACCATGTTCAACCGAACGTCGAAGTGACACATCAGTTACCACGACAAATTTAGTTATCTAAAGGTGGGATATAAAACCGAAAAATGGGGAGGAATGCGTACTACAAAAACATAGGGGGGATACGTATTACAATAACATGGGGGTTTTTGTGTACGTTAAAGAACGTGATTGCCGAGTAAAAAACAGTGTTCACGTTACGGCACGACATTGTTAAAGCAAATAATTTCTACTTCGTGGGCTTCGCCTAGAAGGTACTAAGAAAGTTAATAGCATATGAAACAAGTTAAATAATCCGGTGCATTACAGTCCTGAGGGTCACCCAAGGTGTGAATCACATAGAGATAATCTAAGGCTGGTGTCTACTCCACTATTCTTTTTATGTTATTCTATGTAGTTAATAACTGTTGCCTATGTTCTCTCATGTTACCTCACATTTAAAAGTCTTTCATGTCTTCCCTCTTCGAGAGTGCTTCGCAATCCATTTCGGAGACAGGGGTACCTCATTAAGAACACATTGCGAGGCAATACTTAAACGTGTTTTGCTCGGTCTACTCTTGCCCTACCTACTACGTACCTAGAGAGTACAAAGTAGAAACGTACATTCTACGTGGCACTTTTTAGGTAGGGCAACATCCAGATATTCTTAGACCGTTTGTATTGTACACGTTTATTGAGTGTATAGAGTCAAAAGTTATCTCGTATGGACAATTAATGATTTTAGGTTACTATGCCATACTTTGTATAATTATAGTAAATAAACCTATTGAGTAAGTGGGCCACTCAGCACAGCCAAATACCGAAAAAATGGCGGACAATAAATGTAAGTTGTAGCTAAAAACGTCACAATTAGTAGCAGAAGCTATTTGCCTACAATTAACTTATACGTACCTATGGTACAATTTCGTTAGTAAGAGTCGTTTCGATGTGGAAATCACTTAGAGCTATAATTACGTGATTAAGTATCTTAAATAAGTTGCCACTAGTGACACAAAGTGCATATTTTTTACATGACGTTTGTAAATGATACATGTTGCTTATTATTTTTTAGTAACGATGTTTATGTACAGTGGTGATCAGTCGGAGAGCCCTTGGCTGGGCGAAGCCCACTGCTCGAAGAGCAAAATTATTCTCCTGAAGGAAAAATAATGCTCACCACTGTATGTGTGCAAAACATGGGCTGGTTCTGCATTGCCCCTTATTTAAGAAAGTAGTCATTCACCTAAGCAAAAACAACATGAAGTAGCTCATGATTTATGTCCACTATCCAAAAATGTCCACCCCGTTTCGTGGAGAAATATGGTACCTGGTGAAGTCTTTTACCCTTCATACGTACAATAGTGTTCGGATAATCATGGATAACTCCGTTTAGGTGATTGCACAGCACTGTACTCAGTATGTTTCTATGGAACTGGCGACTTTATGAACACAAAGAGCTGGTGTAATAACCTTTTTTCCCTTTTTAGTCAAAAGTCCAGTTAACGGAATTAATCAATTCAGCTTGCAGTGTCTAGACGTCCGTTATTGCGGGGTGGATGATGTGATATTATTGCGATCACGAGTATTTGTCCACTGATGTCTAAATAAGGTTTGTCGATGAACGAAACCAAATCAGCGACCGCTCTATAATTTCGGTAGCAAAAAATTTCATCCACTCATCATGACTAGACATGGGATTCTCTTATTACGTCACGGATGTTGCGATGTTCGCACTGTCTGTATTAAGGCCAACCATAGAAAAATTGGACATAGCTTCCTGTTGTAAGCTAACTGATGCGTCGATTGTGTGGTTGTGCAGAACGTGTGCCCGTCTAGACTCTCTTGTATTATGGGAATGCAATATCACCGAAATTTCTATGCAAGCTGCATGCGACTACGGAAGTAACTTGCGTTACATCTTTTTTCCATGTAATGCTAATGTGACAGTAGAGAGTATAAGATTGGTGCTAATAAAATGTAACGGTCTAGAGTTCATAGACTTTGGCGCAGGTTTTGATGTGAGTGGTATAGACGACGAGTTCAGAGGAAAATTGCCTCGGTTATTGTTCGCATAAGAATAAGACATATGAAGAACGGATAGGATTTCTTATTAGCAAAGTTTCCGATTAGGATACCTCCGCTTTGTACTCAGTCATTGGAAACCCGGGCTAAACTACTAGCAGGTTCTTATGGGAATATTTCTGGTTCTGCTTTTAGTCACTCAAACTTCTGAACTAAACATCTCGTTCGCTGTATGACCCGTATGAGAGTCTCGAAGTTAGGATATAATGTGACACAAAGTACAGACAAGTTATTGTGAGCACCTTGAGTGAAGTACAATACATAAAAGAACATATGATTGGATTCCATCCTTAGGGCTCTCTTCAGGTATAAAAATCATGTACTTTGTTAGACATGAGAAGAGATTCGCAAGTATACCTTTTCCACTCAAGATGGTCAATGAGATCTTACAGTACGAAACGAACATAATTGCTAACCATGTGTTACTTTTCATGTTATCCCTCATGTTACTTCTCTGTCGCCATTAAAATAACATGCGGTTAGACTAAACTTACCTGCACTATTTAGTACTGTGTACGCAGTCTTTTATCAAAGATTTTGTAACTAGAATAATCTAGTGACGTTTGACGAAATATTGGTACAAAGCGTTTCTGAAGAACGTATTTGGTCACTAGCGAGCTGGTGTGGTATAAAATCGATGGCATATTTTTTCTTTCTTTTATATAATGACATATAATGACAAGCTTGCCGTGGATGTAATGGCGTATTACATGCTACATTACTAAGGTACAATAAAAAACATTCATTGTTATGGCACGATCAAGCCGTGCGGAGGAGATTCCTTTATTTACTACTTTGTTAGACGAGAACTAGGTACAAAAATACGGGTAATGTTTTGTTTTAATACTCTAATCCATGATAAGACCTTACTCCTACTACAATAAAAACCGAGACACGTGTGCGCTTGCTCTGTTAAGCTATGTGGATGATTCAATGATACAAACGATAGATTGCACTACATATATTTTTCTAAAGTGCACCACTTCGTGAGCTCCGCTCAGATTTCTACTCTGTACACCTGGAGTACTATTGGAATGTATTTTACTAGTCTACTTTATTGGTAACGGGCCTTAGTAACTATTACTAACCTCATTTGTCCACCATTGTACGTATGTACAAACAAGAACACATGTATCTTCTTCAGAACGTTGACGTTACAATGTCACCTATATCACTGAATATATATTTACGGATACTCGAAGACATTTGATAAGTATCTGCTTCGTGTACAATAGACTGATTATTAATCCTAGTTATTGTTTGTAATGATAGCTTATATTATAACCATAATTTTTCGTTGCCGACTAAATCCCTAATAAATACCCTCGTGATCATCTTTATTCTTTTAGACATTTGTACCGAAGGCATAGTTAATTGTCGAATACAAGTAGTTACAGTTAAGTGGTAAGACTTCCGAAGAGATTTTCACTCAAAGACAGTGTAGGCCCACCCTCATCAGGAAGTCCTGGTAACACGCAGAAGGTGAAGCCTGAGGGCTAGCTTCTAGTAGTGTTAGACGGCAATAAAGGGTTATATTTTATTTGAGATATTATAATACATGTTTTATGTAAACCGAATACCGCCTTATATATTACACAATTTTTTCGTTGTTTGTTAATTAATACATAAGTCAGTAATACGGTTTGTCTTTCAAGAGCATTGCGGCAGACATTAGTTCTGGGATATTAGCAAGTTTTTTACGAAATATTTCACATGGCGGAAAGGTACGACGATTACTAAAAAATTACGAGATGTTCTACTTCGTACCTTTCAGGCAGTATGGCACTGTATTAATAATTTTGCGTTCATCCATTTTCTTTGTCCTACAACAAGGTATTAATAAGCGACTACCGTGCACATTATTAGTTATAATTAACAATCCGTTTGTCTTCTGTATTATAAACAAATCATGATGATCAAGGTCATTTGCGACACAGACACAAATATGGTTAAAGTGGTACAAACATTTGCATTACATCTGAGAAATTATATTTGACATTAAGCTTCTAAAAAATTAACAATTTTTATTGATAACTATTTTTTTACAATTCCTTAATTAATCCGAATTTTAGTATCACTTTGTGGATAAAGCTCACCCTTCGGGAATACGCAGTGTAGACAATCTTGAATTTTTTTCATAAGGGTTTAAAAAATAAAAAATTCTCTACTGGTGGTCAAGTAGGTGAGACGCTAAGGTGCTTTCCTAAAGAATGTTGTTTCTATTGATTAACTATTTAGCACTGTAGAATTAGTTCACTATTATCGACAGCAATCATTAATACGTTATGAATAATAAGCGTAATTGATTAGCAAGAACACCCTTCGGGTGGTTTTCACTCAAGGTCACATGAAGTTGCGTTCATGACATGTCCACGTGTTATTGTGAACTTATAGTCCTATATTAATTTTTACAACTCTCCTGGGAAACATCTAGCAAAAATCTGTTGTGATGTCCTTCACTATCTATTATGTTTCGTAATGACGCCCTATTCATGTGTCCTTGGGCAAACGGAGAGTATCTTACACTACTAGCGTTTCCAGTCTCATCGCTTTTGGATTTATCCATTTCGGTTATTTTCCTGCCCCTTGTTATTTCTTCCATTTCTGCCTTTTTCTTCTTTCATTTTCTCATTTAAAAACGCTGTTTCATTGCTCTGTGACGATTGGGACGTGTTAGATTGGTTATTTACTGGAGACGCTTTAGCATCCTGTACCCCTTTAGAAAATGAAACTGCACTATCTGATGGTAACGCTATATACCATTCCGGCAAATTAGGAGTGTTTTTGTCTGTGTAGTATGATACATGTCTATAAAAATCGTCTGTGTTCCAGATTGCCGAAACTTTTGAACCACTTATTTTGTAGTGATCCATGACCTTCTTCCGCCCTCCTTTGAGAATCTTTGCATATCTGATCGCATCGATATCTTCTTTCGTTAGTAGAACTCTTTCTTTCCTTTTTTTTGTTAGAATCCTCTGTCTTTTCTGGCATTTTGATATGTATAAGAAACAAAAAATATTTCGAAAACATTTTTTAGTCAAACGGATTCCCAGTCGAAGTAAAGCTAATAAATATCTGCCGTGTCTGTGGCCTATGCGTACATAGGAAACTACCGTGCAAACGATGGAAAATATTTACCCATCGATTTATAGGCCAAATGGATTACATGAATAACGTAAATAAATCTACATTACGGACACATGATATTCTAAACCCAGAGCCAAGTCTCTTGTGCGTGAACTTTGTCTTTTACTTATTTGAAGGTCTATGGAATGAACACAGAAGAAATGTATAAAAAACTTCAGTCTACAAAATGAGCTCGGGGAAGGAATCTATGTAAATACAATAAATACTCTAACTAACTAAGTAAATAATTGTAGCTTCACTGATGAAGTCTACCATCGGTATCTACCTTCGGTATGTTCCTAGAACGTCCTTGTTTTTGCTCACATTTTTTAACTATTCAAAAAACACTCTCTATTACTGTAGATGATTGGTAAGACAAATGTTCGACGCCGTAGCTGGTGAGAAGCACCAGAAGGGCATTTCATCCGGAGTTGTATATACCAGAAATTTTTCAGAGTGTCGCATGTTAATTACCACGCCTGAAGTTATATGATGCCATGAGCAATATAACGTGAACGACTAGAGAAGAATTTGAATGGACAGCAGGGAAGAATAACGTAAACGACTGCGAAGAATATAACGGGCACATGTCTATTACTGCGCCTGAAGTCATATGATACTCTGAACAATTGTACAGAGTGTCACATGTTCGCTACTACGCCTCGAGTTATTGATTAGAATAGACGTACATTAAGCAGTATCTATGTTTATTGCGTACATATATACGAGAAGGTTTATCTTGAATTTCGTGTTTGAAGATGCATATCCACGTGAAATGTAGTTTTCAGTCGCCCTCATGAAATGTATTACAAATCGTAATACAAATAATTCTAATTTATTGTCCTAATGTCAAAAATGCAGGAACTATATTGACAACACTTGTAGCATGGACGCTTGTAGCTTAGCGGACGTTTATTACAAAGATCAACTGAAGGCATAATCATTATATAGCGTTTTGTCTGTTAAAATTTGATAAAATCCTCTTTAATTGAAGTTCTTGTGTGTTACTTTATTAAGTACACTAACATGTTTGCTATTTTAGGTAAAACTCATATAAGGAAGATGCGCATAATATTTTGTTCGTCAATGGGGGTAATAACGTAGAAATGATTGTTATCGATAACCAATTAATGGGTACATTCTTTCCCAGAGGGTCACCAGTTCTATGAGCGAATTATGCACCCCTCACTAAAAATACAGTGGTGAGCATAATTTTTCCTTCGGGTTCCACTGGAAAAAGAAAGAGGGGCTTGGCGTGGCCTTTCGAAGAAATAGCCTGAGCGTGGGCTTCGCCCAGCCAAGGGCTCTCTGACTGATCACCACCGTACATTAGAACTGCCTAATATGGCCATTTCCCACATTCATCATCCTAAATAATTTTGTTCTCGAGTAGTGGACTGCGCCCCTGTATAAATTCCCCACTTCGCTCGAAATTCATACACACTTCTGTCAAGAGTTCCTCCGGAATAGCGCCTTTCAGGGATTTTTTTGCATACAATTAGTGTGCTCCTAATTATGGAGGGCTCTCTGATTAATCACTATCGTATGTTACTTCTTGCTATCATGGAAACGTAGTTGGTATCAGACTGTAGAAATTTCACGGGAACTCTTATTACACAAATTAGTTAGTATTCCGATAGGAATAGTTCTATATAATAGGAGGTATTAACCAAGGGATTATAGTAGAGGTCCATCATTACGTGTACGAAAGAAACAATGATCACTTTTTAGTAGACAAAAACGAGGAGCATAGTGAGTTATTGCAAGTTTTTAATGGATAACAAGACACCCGTACATTGCAGGTAATTGGAGAGCTAGCTACGAGGAATACTTCCCATGAGTTCTATGTTATCCTTCTAACTTTACACCACCTCGCATATTATACTTCCATTGTTTACCCACTGCCCCTGCTGGTTATTTTTCATGATATACATGATCATCGCACTAAACTATTCACAAGATATACCATATGCGTTTCGTATACGATATCCGCTCCGTTATGAGTCGGAAATAAATCACGTAACTTTGATCGTGATAACTGTTTCCTTGTTTGGGGGGATAAATTAGTTACCATTTTCCTGGTTTTATTTTCTCTGTTAACTTTCTAGTATTTGGGAAGTGTATCTCCTAGATAACTTCGAACAGAATCGAACACTGAGAACACGTTCTAGTATAACTACTTCTCTATACAGAAGTTACTCATTTTTGAGTACTTCAGTAATTCTTAGTGGTATTCAATGTAGAAGTTGAAGAATTAGATACGACTATCCCACAAATTGAGAAACAAAATGTCTGATCATTCCAGCGATACTCTGAACTCGGACTCGACTCTTGCCGCTTAACAATTAGGAGAATAACTCCTAAGACATCTAACTAAATAGACCTTCGATGTTATGATCTAGATTCCATCTACCCTCCGGGTAGGCAAGACGTTCATGTAGACGTTCATATAGACAATTAATAGACAAGATGTCCATTTGGGATGCATGAAAAAATCTTCAGTGTAACGAAATCTTTAGTGTATCGATGATATAAACAGTTGAATGTTCTTTAAAGTTTTTCGGCTCTTAACAATTTGCTCCAGAAACAGTTTAAGGGATACTGGATAATTTGGGTTAACTCGGTTTTCGCCCTATTACAAACACCCCTTATTTATTTTACGATCATGCACTTTCTAAACAACCCCTGGGCTTTACCCACGAAGTAAAATATACTATGAACGCAATCGAGCTTATCGACTTCGTAATAATTCCACGCCCCCTGTTCTATTACGTGGTCGATATCTGGAATACGTTCTCACATCCCATGAACTCATTCCCTTACATTCTTCTCTGCAGTTGATTCCTATTTGTCAATTCTGTGAAGAAATTGCTAAATCATTCTCCTGTCTCTTTACCTTTGTCCAGCATTACTTATGGTACATTTGCCGTAGCCATGGGATATATCCAGTAGATACATATCACGTGTGTAATTTTTTTTGTAACGATGATGCTACGGTTTTTATAAATGTTATATCCCAATTAGTAAATAGATAGTCTATGCTTTACTACGCCACACACTAGTATTAGACTGCGCTGGCATGAAACTGTCATTCTCTGTAGCACTTCTATGTCACCAGCGTTATTAAGATATTAGTAAATGCATATACGTGCCTTAGTTTGGATGACCCGAAGTCGTTGAAGTCACGTGATTTTTGATGGAATGTAAATCCTCGACCAGAGAATGTTAAAGACCCATGGTCTGTAGATTCTTCCGAGTGGTTATGAAATTCATCAAAGGCTACCAAAATACAAGTAATTGGTACATAACATGGATAGGTTCTAATGAGATTAAGTATGCTACATGCACTGCATGCATACTTCTCGTATATGAATCATGATGTTAACTTTAGACAGAGTATGGGCTTGGCTACATAGGGATTTATACTTCGTAATTTGTTATTCTCATACGGTATCCGAAAGAAATACAGTGCTCAGAATGAACTTATGGAAGAACAATTCATTGATAGCGCATTATGCATAGAATCTGAGTTAGGCGTCTCATACCCGGGTTCGTCATCCTCGATATCTATTTCCACTAGTTTACGGCGTACTTTTGTATTATAATCGGTTACAAAGCAACTAGGACAAAGGGCTCCATAGGAGCGACACTCGAAGCATGAAGCATTAGCATGCTTATTCTGACCTTTGAGTTTCCATGATGCTAATTCCCCCCTGATGATTTTTGTATATTCTCTGCCAATGTGGTCAATTAATTCCTCGTCTATATCATCGTCTATATCATCGTCTATATTATCATCTCGGTCATAAGTTAACGGTTTCCGAGTACTTAAGTTGGGTATGATAGTTTCTTTGCAAATGTTATTCGATGTACTGTCTAATCGGTGAAACTCTTCTATTATTACATTGTCTGTGTCTAAAAACTTTTCATAGCTTGGATCGTACACGCTCGATGCGTGAAAGTGTTCATTGGCTTGTTCGCATATGTATTCATTTTCGTATTCTTTATTTCTCGATACTGTGGTAGTCCGGTCATCTAAATCACTCGAATGCAATTCTTGGGGAACAATAGACTGGCTGATGTTATCGGTAGAAGAATCAGTTTTTAAGGAAACGATGACCGAACCAATGCTATCTGTAGCAGAATCGTTTCCTTGGGAAATAAACGTGTCTTGTTCAACAGTTTCAGTAATCGATGGATCTCGTTCTTCATGCGACCCCTCATCGTGTCCCACAGATAGATTGTCTTGGATCTCACTATTCGTGAAACTTGTAGTGTCTTGCTCAGCAATCTCAATAGTCGCTGAGTCTTGGATTCCTTGAAACCCTTCATCGTATTCCACAGAGGAGCAACTATTAATGGCTTGGTTCGGATTACTCGTGAAATTTACAGTGTTTCGTTCATTCTCAGTAATCGGTGGGTCTCGGTTTCCTGCTAATTTCTCGTTGTGTTCCACAGAGAAATAGTGAATAATTGATTGTATCTGATTATTCGTGAAGCTTGCAATTAAGTTCGCACTGTACGTAGTAACATGTTTAATTTTGTCTATCCCTATTTTCTCGAACAACTTGTAAATCTTAATAGCTCTCTGCGTTTTTTTACAGAGATTCCCTCGTTTGATTTTGGGATGTTGGCTAGCAATGAAATCGTATATTCTCCCTTTGGCTGTTTTTTCCCCAACTCTCTCGTCAGTAACAAATCTTTTTACGTTGTTGATAAATGCGCTAGCATAGTAGTACCAGCACAGAATCTCTTTTCGGTTGGCCTCCATGGCAGAAATTTCTGCACTAGTGGCTTTGCGATATAACTTGGCCAAATGTTGCAATGTAACGGTATCATGAACAGATTTTTGGCATACCGTATTTGGTACAGTCTCCGTGCTATTTTCCTCATTGACAGGTGGACAACAGTTACCTTCTTGTTGGCCAATAGAGGAAGAAATCTCTTGTATAAACTCTCTTTCTCTGTCCGAGAGGGGAGTCTGTTCGTTGCTTCTGTTATTTAGTACACTCTGCTGTTTTACATAAGAGACAGCCGCACTTTTATCGTTGATAGTCTTGTGAATTTCTTGTAACGTATTGGTATGAGACTTTTCTGTTTTTTTCTCTGTTTTATTCACTACTGGTAAATCTTTTACGCTAGAAGTCCCTAATCCGTGCTCGTGTGCTGCCTCGACGTTATTGCAGCTCGATGTTACCGATTTCAGCGCACCAGTTTCCGCAACGACATAGCTAGGGTCTGTTGTTTTATGGTTGTTTTGTGAAAGAAATAGTCTGTCGGAAGCAGAGTGGCAATCGAGACAAGTTTTGTTACTTTCGAGACAATCACGATGGATATAGTGCCCACATAGTAGTCCTACGAATTCCTTTCTTAGTGGAAATGTAAATATGTTTTCGTTACAACGTTTACATTGAAGCAGTTCTGGTGTATCGTTTCTGTCTGCGAGCGATTCCTGATCAGTTACAGTGAGGATATTCTTTGCAAGCAGCACAGCATATTTCGTGCAAAACCCCCCTTCCATCGTAATAAAAATTATTATACGTTATTCTTTATTTATTCAAATGCGTAGAAACGGCACATGTAATAACGAAAGATAAGGACTAGTTATTGTTAAACTTCTGTACGGATTATACGCTACTTTGTTCATGCACCAGATGAATTAGTAACTAGCAGACAGAAACGTTCGTTATTCGAAGAATCCTTCCCTGACGAGTTGTTATTACTTTGTATCTCCTTGCAGGTTATTGTAAATTTCGTCACTACATGAGCGCAAAAATAAAATAAGCGAAACTAGCTTCAACAACGTGCTTTGTTTCTTGCTCTGTACTGACTGATAACAGGAGTGGTAACACTGCATAAGGTGCACATATGGATATATAGTGTCCCCCACGGATGTATGCTTAGACAAACTTCTTAAAATGTTCATTTAACCATATTATTACATGTCCACAAGTATCACGTTATGTATATTAACTCTGCATATACAGTGGTGAGCATAATTTTTCCTTCGGGTTCCACACTAGTCTTTAGACCTTCCTTCGGAAGTGAACCTAGGTTCCTACCTGAAAGGTACTACGTAGAACCTCCTATGTAATGAGCGCACCCGTTCCACTGGTTGAGCGGCAAGACGATCATGGAAAAAGAAAGAGGGGCTTGGCGTAGCCTTTCGAAGAAATAGCGCATTCCATGCAAAATACGCACCCTTCGGGTGGTTTTACTAGGCTATGCCTACGAAGTAAAAAACCCACTTCGAAGAAAGTCCTACGGACTAAAAAACTGTATAATATGGCCATTTTTCTACATTCGTCATTCCAGTGGAACCCCCGAAGGGAGAATAATTTTGCTCTTCGAGCAGTCTACGACTGATCACCACCGTATTGTCAGACTTAACTACATTGATTCCTTAGAATGGATTATGCAACAGGTGAAGTGGGCCTTCAAAAATCACGTGACTTAAGAGACGTCCAAATTTTGTCTAGTTTTATCGCTTACACATTTTTTGTTTCTCCTTTCCACTGGAATCCGAAGGAAAAATAATGCCCACTACTGTACGTGGATTACGAATATAAACGTCTGGATCCATTTACTCTAATAGAGATATAAACCTGTTATCAACAACATACAGCTATCGTGGGTTTTGTAATTTCGGCTAATATCCCGGAAAACAACACACAGATATTTGTTGCCTGATGAGATTCTTGTAAAGGGGATACGAGAGTAATGTATGAGACTGAACGAACCCATCATTACCGAAATCGCAGCAAACGTTACTAACGATTATGCATTACACTGATGATAATGTAATTATCGTTATAAACATAATAGTGATTTTGTATTTTCATCGAACGTGTTCGCTAAAGTCACGTGATTTGGACGACTTCTGGTCGTTGAAATTTCTGACATATACGGTGGTGATCAGTCGTAGACTGCTCGAAGAGCAAAATTATTTAGGCGGAGCTCAGTTACTCGAATAACGAATGTGTGAAAATGGCCATATTAGACAGTATTTTATACGTTTTTTAGTAAACCACCCGAAGGGTGCGTATTTTACCTCTTTCTTTTTCCAGTGGAACCCGAAGGAAAAAATATGCTCACCACTGTACTTACAACGAGGTGCTACTATCAAGAAAATTGTAACATGTATTACTTCATTATCAAAAAATAACATTTGTCCCTAAGTCAAGGTTTAGTTGCGAAATACGTAGCTTATGACACTAGGCTGATTCCAATCGTTACCAGAAAAGTAACGCCCGTGTCTAAGTTATAATCCATAGTTGTCGTTGTAAAAATACACTAACATGTGGCGAACAATAGTTGATATTTTTTATTCATTGCACAATCTACTTCGTACCCTCTGGGTAGACCGCATTCGTCTACTGTACCACACAAGCGCAAAACTCTTACTATGCCTTGTTGCATCATTTAACGGACAAGTTACTATTGATGCTAGTTTTTCTTTAACAGCATAACTCTCTATGCGCTAATAATTCCAATGTAACGCATATTGTTAACTGTAAACCAGTTCATCTTAATAACAAGTAACGACTCAATTGATTAATGTGGTCAACGAATCGTTACCATGTGCATTCAGTCGTAGATTACCTGAAGGGGCATATTTATTCTTTGTTAACGTTGACACAGTCTGGTACCATGTATAGGACGAAAAACAGTAGTCTGATTCAGAGAATAGTTCTAGCATTGCACTGCGTATTTGGCATCTATGGATTTCATTTGTAACAATAAAATAGGCCAGTCGCTCCTGTTGCCCACAGTTCAGTCGGAGACTACCCCTGTATGAATTTCTCACTTCGCTCAAAATTCATACAGAATTGTTTCTTGCATACAAATTAATACGCAAATACTTACTGTAGATGGTTAATAGACAAATTGTGTACAAAATAATCTCCATGATTTTCTGAGGAACGAAGAAAATAATGGAGGGGCACATGAATAATGTTACGCTACTGTCAGTGAGCAAGGAACACGTGTATTCCATGAAATATCCGTAGATGTCGTTACAGGAGTATTTGGACTCGAAGGACAGGTATTTACTTTATCGTTACCACGAAAATATATGGACGGTAATACCCTATGAACCTAGGTTCCTAGAACCTCCTCTGTTAACAGCGCACCCTTTGGGTGGTTCTACTGGTTGAGCGGCGAGACTGTCATTGTATACCCTGAGAAATATATGCGGACAATGTTATCAACAGCCAAGCATCATCCTTACAAAAATATACTTATCATCACAGAGATTCGTGAAGCGAATTCCTTTGGGATTCCATGTAATTTGTTACAAAAATATACCGGCAATAAAAATAAAAAGGCCATCGATACAACAAATGTAACACACGTGTCTGCCTTACAACAAATATGACACTGAAGTAGATATAATTCGGGTTTGTAACAAAATATACAAGATATGGTAACGATTGTCGAAGCAATAGTATATTAAATTGGTAACGATTAATAAAGTCATCGTATAACAGTTGTTCATATAACAACATGGACACTAATCGTTACAACAAATTACTTCATGGCTACAAAAAATACAGACTTGTAAAAACTATGTACTCATTATTAGAATAAATTATGTGAGCATCGCTTTCTACTCCACGGTAGAAACGCCGATTGGTATGAAGAAGAATCTTCCGATGAAACTATACGGACCCGAGCTAAAAACTCTATGCAGGGGATAAAAAAGGTATTAACACAGTTTCAAATGATAGTATGACCCTGTATACTACGAGTAAAAACCTCGTTTCACTCTTGAACATGGTGCACCCGGAGATCTAAACCTCAGTACTGTCGACAACAATCGTACAAATCTCTAGTGACAACGTTTTATACCGCATCCCCAGTAATGTGTTTCATAAAGAGACTGCTCAAAGATTATACTTTCTATGGTAGTGCATGTATTATTGAAGTGCGAAAACAATCAATAACGAGTCGTTACACCTGGTAATAATTGTCGCATAATATCGGTAACGATGGCTGCAAATTTTTACAATGGTGCATAATTTGGCAACGCTGTCTGCTTCTGTTTCTCCATCTACATTAATCCCCCAGAGGGTCTCTCCAGTTCTATGAGCTGAGCATCATGCCTTAGGCTCTGCCTACTACGTATATTCCATCTACCTGAGCGTGGGCTTCGCCCAGCCAAGGGCTCTTGCCGCTCAACCACGCAAAGGTATTAGGAGAATGTGTTCCTAATGTAGAACTGGATTGACCCTCCGGGAAGAGATGTACATTAATTTGTTATCGATAACAATCATTTATACGTTATGATATTAGACCCATTGCGAAACAATATCATGAGCGTTGGCTAGTCCCAGTCAACTCTTGCCCTATGAACCTAGGTTCCTACCCTTCAATAATGTATGATATTTGTAAAAAATGAATGCAGAGCGTGGTTGAGCGGCAAAACGGTCATTCAATTACGTAGATGATTAATAGACAAACGTATACAAAAAATCTCCACTTCCTTCGGAAGGACCTATGGGCTGTTTTTTTGAGGAACGAGGAGGCCTCTGGCCCATTCCAGTCCATTTATGGACCTTCCGAAGGAAGTGAAATTAGTCTTTAGACTGAGCGTGGGCTTTGCCCAGCCAAGGGCTCTTGTCGCTCAACCAGTAGAACCACCCAAAGGGTGCGCTGTTAACAGAGGAGGTCCTAGGAACCTACGTTCATAGCGGAAGTGGAGGGAAATTACAGAACGGACTGAACTGTAAAATTTTCAGCGACCAGAAGTCGTCCAAGTTACGTGATTTCTGAGACGGCCCGTCCCGGAAAATATAGAACGGACTGAACTGTAAAAATTTCATGACCAGAAGTCGTCCAAGTCATATGAATTTGCACATGACATCTACCGGAAATCCGGGGGATGTCACATGTAATGATGTTCATGTGACACTCTATGCATTTGTTCAGAGTATCACATGACGTTCTGTTGATGACGTGTCAATGTACATCAATTTCCTTTCTGTAGTCAATGTTTATTATCTTTCACGACCACTCCTTTCAGGTAGGATCCTAGGTTTCTACATGAGCACCTTGCCCTACCACGGGTACGAAGTAGAACTGGGATAACCCTCCGGGAAAGAATGTACCCATTAATCGGTTATCGATAACAATCATTTTTACGTTATGATAATAGGAACACATTCCTAAGAGCTTAGAGCTGGTTGAGTGGCATTAGGAGCCATTTCCTATGACTGATCCTATCACGTGACCCACTATATTCTACTCTGCTGTTGTTCACTAATATACTGTTCTGTAGCCTATTCCGTCGTATAGCGCTGTCCATTCTTTTCCTCATTCCGAAGCAGACAGATATGTAATTGATAGTAGACAAGTAAAAAAACAGTGTAGTAATCGAAATGCTTATTAGTATTAACGTAGTCACTAAGAACCATCACGTATCTATTGTCCACTAATCTACTCCGCAGTGGATTATATATGTGATCTCCTATGATGTCCACTTACATTCTTCACCAGTCGATATCTCCATCAATTTCGCAG